CATTCATGTTACTTCTATATGTTGTAATAGATCATCCCTCATGTTTCATTCATGTTACTTCTATATGTTGTAGTAGATCATCCCTCATGTTTCATTCATGTTACTTCTATATGTTGTAATAGATCATCCCTCATGTTTCATTCATGTTACTTCTATATGTTGTAGTAGATCATCCCTCATGTTTCATTCATGTTACTTCTATATGTTGTAATAGATCATCCCTCATGTTTCATTCATGTTACTTCTATATGTTGTAGTAGATCATCCCTCATGTTTCATTCATGTTACTTCTATATGTTGTAGTATATCATCCCTCATGTTTCATTCATGTTACTTCTATATGTTGTAGTAGATCATCCCTCATGTTTCATTCATGTTACTTCTATATGTTGTAGTAGATCATATCTAATGTTTCATTCATGTTACTTCTATATGTTGTAGTAGATCATCCCTCATGTTTCATTCATGTTACTTCTATATGTTGTAGTATATCATCCCTCCTGTTTCATTCATGTTATGTCTATATGTTGTAGTTGATCATATTTAATGTTTCATTCATGTTACGTCTATATGTTGTAGTTGATCATATTTAATGTTTCATTCATGTTACGTCTATATGTTGTAGTAGATCATTCCTCCCATCTCATTCATGTTACTTCCAAATGTTGTAGTATATCATCCCTCATGTTTCATTCATGCTGCTTCCAAATGTTGTAGTAGATCATCCCTCATGTTTCACTCATGTTACTTCCAAATGTTGTAGTAGATCATACCTCATGTTTCATTCATGTTACTTCCAAATGTTGTAGTAGATCATACCTCATGTTTCATTCATGTTACTTCCAAATGTTGTAGTAGATCATACCTCATGTTTCATTCATGTTACTTCCAAATGTTGTAGTAGATCATCCCTCATGTTTCATTCATGCTACTTCCAAATGTTGTAGTAGATCATCCCTCATGTTTCACTCATGTTACTTCCAAATGTTATAGTAGATCATCCTTCACCTACCTCTTCGTTTTTTTCTTTTTGTTGTTTTTTCCTGTTGATCAACCACTGTATTGTTGTCTTCTGTCCATATCTAGTTTCATCTTATCTAGCTATGTGTCTTATTCATCTCCAACATTTGTCTGCTACTAGCTCTACTGCCTCTTTAACTCCCATTTTCTACCTGATCTAATCATTTATTTTTCTTTATAGTCTTCTAATTCCTAGAATATTTCTTTCCATGTCTCTTTGACCTTGTTTGGAACTTATTTTTTACTAAGTATATATGGTAATGTAAATATATGGGTGTGTTGGGCTAAGGATTCCTCTACAGTAGGTGTCTGTGACTTGTTGGCAACGAATTTGACAATAAATGAACAGCACGTACTCCACTTGTTTTTAAAATAACATAAGTATTCGAAACAAGTTAAATGTATGTACAAAATTCTTTACACTAGAGAGATCATAGTTGTATCTTAAATGCTATACAGTTATCTATCTTCTTCTTGTCAAAAATGCATTTAGGCCAATTCAGTTGCTTTAGAATTCAGTTGACAAGATGAAATATTTTTCTATATTGTTTATTGCAATAGTATCCATGTATGATTCACGTTGTCATGTAAAAAAGGATCAAGCAAGATATCAAGCTTCTTAAAGTCTCAAAAAGTGACATCCCAAATGTAGTTTCATGGGAGCTGAAGAAAGTGTAGAAGAAAGACCCTTCACCATAGAAACTTCAGGACAGTGCCCAAGAGGAAGTCAAGCACAAGAAGAAAGAGGAACAAAATCTACTGAGTCAGTATACAGATAAATTAGGATATACAGACCCCAGAAAACACAAGATAAGGTGAAGGCAAGGGATCCTGTCAAGATGAAGCAATATTGGAGGCCCTACATGAGAAGAGACTGAAAAAAGAACTGTAAATGTTGGTGTAGATTGTATGAGAAGACTTAGTATATGAACCAAAAACAGTTTTTGTATATTGTGAAAAAAAAATTGTTAATATTTTTCTTGAAGAGGAGCTTACTGTCAGATATAAAAGACTGTTTAGTGTAGGTAGTATTATGAATTTATTTATTTTGTCGAACACTGTGTTTACAAGCCAATGATGTTGAGGCTATGGAGATTTCTAGAAGGCCTAAGTGACAGATGTATAAATAGCTGTGATCAGACAAATGAAAACAGAGTAAAAGTAATATCACATGAAAGAGAAGTTTGGTCAGAGAAAAGTTATGAAACATAAATTTAGCCATTGTGAGAGTGAATGGCTTAACGGTTGATATGTTAGAGAGTGAAATTAACAGTCTGGAAAGAGATAAGGAGAATAATTTGTTTTCTCAAAGGGTATTCTAAACTAATTGAACCCACCTGCATGGACTTTGAGAAAAAGGAAACGATTATTGAAAATTCAGGATACAACTGTAGTAACCCTTTGAGCTCTTCTGATGACTGCAGTTGCTTCAGCAGACTTCTTTTTGTCTAGTTCCTCCAAATTCTTACTACCTGGTATGTTTCCTATCACCAAGTTGTATATTGGTTCTTTGATACACGTGTCTTCAAGGTCTCCTACATAATATGGAGTATCCACCTTTATTTTTGTTTTGGGAAACTTTCTCCCTGTCCCATCAATTAGTACACACACAGGTGTACCTTGCCTGTCATCTGATCATTGAACAAAACATTCCACAGATGTTTAAATATTTCCTACTGATTTAGACTCTGAAGTAATGTTGTACCTACATACAAAACATTTCACAGATCTTTAAGTATTTCCTACTGATTTAGGTTTGACCTCTACTAATCAAGTGACATTGGTGCTATGTTCTATGTGAAAAGAAAATGCCAATGTGTCTCTGGAGAAAAATGTTTAACTAATGCATCATACCAGCAACGACATATGGAAGTGAAACCTGGAGACTGACAAAGAGAATGAAGACAAAATTACAAACAGGTCTGTCAGGTATAAAAGACTGTTTAGTGTAGGTAGTATTATTAATTTATTTATTTTGTGTTTGTAATTCATTGATGTTGAGGCTATTGAACATTGTGTTTGCAATCCATTGAAGTCGAGACTATGGAGATTTCTAGAAGGTGTAAGTGACAGACGTATAAATAGCTGCAACCAGACGAGCAAAAACAGAGTAAAAGTAAAGTCACATGAAAGAGACATTCGGTCAGAAAAGTTAAAAAACGTAAAGTGAACTGTTTTGTGCGTGACTGGCCTAATGATTGATATGTTAGAGTGAGATTAACAGTTTTAAAAAAAAAGGAGAATAATTTGTTTCATCAAAGGGTGTTCTAAACTAATTGAAAAAACCTGTGTGGACTTTGACAAAAGGCAGACGATTATTGGAAGTTTGAAAAGTAGGCAATTATTGGAAGTTTAGAGGACAACTGTGGTAACTCACACAAAACATAAGTGAATTATAATCTGATATTATTGCAATAAAAATAGAGAAAAATAGTTTGGCCTGTCAACTGAATTCTAAAGCAATTGAATTGGCCTAAATGGACTTTTGACAAGAAGAGAACTGTATAGTGTTTAAGATACAACTATGATCTCTATAGTGTGAAGAATTTCGTAAATATATTCAACTTTTATTTTAATACATATATTATTTTAAAAGCAAGTGGAGTGCATGCAGTTCGTTTATTATCAAACTTATCACCAACAAGTCACACACGTCTATTGTAGAAGAATCCTTAGCCTAAAACACCCATATATTTACATTACTATATATGCTACTAAAAAGTAAGTTCTTGACATTTGGTGAGCCACAGCCTGGATTATACAGTGATAAATGGAAGAAAAGAAAACATAAATAACAGTGGAAATAAGTAGGCCTATACATATGCACAACTATAGTAGTAGTGCAAATAGTGTGGAGATTACAATCACACTATATACCCATGTCAAATTTTGATAAATGGATAGAAAGAAGAGAGCGTCTTGGGTTAAAAGACAGTGAACTATGAGAGTTTGTTAAATAACAACAACAACTAGAGAGAGAAGAGCAGCAACAGAAGAGAGAGGAGGAAAGACAGAGAAGAGAAGAAGAAAGACTGAAAGAAGAAAAGGAGAGAAGAAAATGAGAGAAAGGAAATACTGGAAATAGAGATACAGAGAATAAGAGCACAAATTGAGAAAGAAGAAAGGGAGAGAGGAGAGACTAGAAATAGAGAGAATAAGAGTACAAATTGAGATTGAAAAGCTCACCCAACTGAAGGAAGAAAGTCCCCAGAATGATAACGGAGTCAGGGCCAGTCGACCCAGGCTGTCCAAATTGGATGAACAGAAAGATGACATGGATGCTTTCCTGGAGGGATATGAAAGAATCACCTACAGTCAGAACTGGGAAAAAGGCAACTGGGCAGTCTGTCTCAGCCCACTTCTCACAGGAAAAGGCCTACAAGTATATGCAAGCATTATTTCGGAAGATGCCATGGACTATGACAAGTTAAAAGTGGCTTTGCTGAAATGATATGAGCTTACTGAAGAAGGTTTTCACCAGAAGTTTAGAGAAGTCAAACCTGATGCTGGAGAAACTGTATTTCAATTTGTGGCACGTCTACAGCAATACTTGACCAGATGGACTGACATGGCCAAGTGTGAAAATAGCTTCAAGGGATTGGCAGATCTACTAGTATGAAAACAGTTCATGATCATGTGTTCAACTGACATGTCACTGTTCCTGAAGGAGAGAGCACCAAAAGTCATAGACGAGATGATCAAGCTAGCAGAACAGTATATGGAAGCCCATGGATGGTGTACAAGTGGCAAGTCCAAGAATATCCAGTTAAATTCAAAACCAGTGATGGTTGACCAGAAGCAGGAGTTTAGCAAAGGTGACAGAAGGTTAATAGACAGAAGGGAGAAGACATTCTATATTTGTTATAAAATGGGGCACATTGTAAAAGAGTGCAAGTCCATTATCAGCAACAACAGCAGAAATCTCAACATAAAGCAGCTGAAGCTATTTACAAAGATAGTACTGGTAAGAAACAAGAAAATAGTGACTGTCACTATGGATGCTGCTGCCAGAAAAAACAAGATCAACACAACTTGTTAGCTTCACCACAAGAAGGAAGTGCCATTTCCATGATTGATCAGTGTACGACTATTGGTTAGCTCAAGATAGCAAATGGGTCAACAGTGCCAGTAGTGATTGGAGTATGTTACAAATATCAAGAGGTGCCAACAAATCATACTATACCAATATGTGATGGCTATGTAGGTGACAAGAAAGTGAAGGTTCTGCGAGACACTGGGTGCAGTAGTGCAACAGTGAGAGCCAATCTAGTAATATGTAGGTACTACATTACTTCTGAGAAAGCTTCAGGTGTCATCTCAGGGGCTCAGCACTCTGAAAATGGTCCAATTGAATGGAATAGAGATCTTCCAAAATCCTGTCTCTTGAGTCAGTAAGTCCAAAATCCTGTCTTTTAAGTCAGTAAGTAGACCAAAATCCTGTCATTTGAGTCAGTAAGTACAAAATCCTGTCTCTTGAGTCAGTAAGTCCAAAATCCTGTCTTTTAAGTCAGTAAGTAGACCAAAATCCTGTCATTTGAGTCAGTAAGTACAAAATCCTGTCTC